CCCTTCAAGAGCAAGGGAAAATGAAGAAAACTAAAGACACAAGGGAGTTTAGTCCAAAGGACTAACAAATCCACAATTACTATGGCCTCCACCAGACTAAGTCCACTACAACTAGATGGTGCCTGGCTACCACCACTGACTGCTCTGACAGGGATCACAATAGAGTGTCCCAGATAGAGCAGAATAAAAATGTAGAACAGAATTCTAACTCACAAAAAAAGGCCAGACTTACTGGCCTGACAGAGACAGTTGAAACCCCCAGAGTACGGCCCCCAGACACCCTTTTAGCCCAGTAATGAAGTCACTTCGGAGGTTCACCTTTTAGTCAGATTAGACAGACCCATAGGACAAAACAAGACTAAAGGGGCACGCCAGCCCAAGGGCGAGGACTAGAAGGCAGGAAGGGACAGGAAAGCTGGTAATAGGGAACCCAAAGTCGAGAAGGGAGAGTACGAACATGTTATGGGGTTGTTAACTAATGCCATAAAACAATATATGAACTAACTGTTTAATAAGAAGCTAGTTTGTTCTGTAAACATTCATCTAAAGTTTAATTAAAAAAAAAGAAAAATCAAACGATGTATTGCATTGGGCAAATCTTCAGCAAAAGATCTCTTTAGAGTTTTAAAAAGCAAAGATGACTAAGGTGTGCCTGACCTAAGCCATGACCTTTTTATCACCTCATATGCCTGGGAAAGCTGGACAATGAAAAAGGAAGGCAAAAGAACTAATGCATTTGAATTGTGGTGTTAGCGAAGAATACTGAAGATACTGTGGACAGGAGTGAACAAATCAGTCTTAGAAGGACTACAACAAGAACGCTCATTAGAAGCAAGGATGTGAGACTTCAGCATGCATACTTTGGACATGCCATCAGTCCAATCGTTGGAAAAAGACATCATGGTTGGTAAAGTAGAGGGTCAGTGAAAACGAGGGAAACCCTCTATGAAATGGATTGACACTACAGCCACAACAACAGACTCAAATGTACCAACAATCATGAAGATGGCACAGGGTTTGGCAACATTCTGTTCTGTTATACATAATGTCACCATGAGTCAGAGCCATCTTGACAGACTGAACACAGAGAAGGGACATCCATTTCTCTCTTTCCTGAAGTCTCACTTTTTCTCAGAAAGGACTGACAGCAAGTAACCAAACAGAGGGACAGAGATCTGGATGCAGAAAGCAGCTTTAAAATTCTATTCTAGCCAATTCTGCAAATTCAGAGCTTTTTCTGCCACATAGGTCAAAAGTGAAATAAGACAAATCTGTGTGCCTTGAGATTTCAACTGTTTTTCCTTTTAAAATATATATTGTTCAAAATACACTGTATCTTGAACTTTGTGAATCATAACTCACAGTAAGAAATATGTTTTACATCAAAACCCAGTACACACACAACACACACACATAATTTGAAACAAAAGTTTCATGCAATAAAAGTTACCCTTACTCCATGCAGTACAATATGATAAATTTCTAATGTTTTCTTTTTCAATGCTGGCAACATCACAAACTGCTTCCACGGCCGAGTCATGGGTCACAGCCTAGAGTCTAAGAAACACTGCTGTAGTACACACATGTGGTCTGGCCTTCCCTACCTCTCCAACTGTACCTCCTGCTATTCTCCACCATACTTCCCACACCACAGCCACTCCCACACTCCCTCATTCCCCAGTTACTATTCTGTATTTTTAACACTGAACCATAAGGTCAGTTCCTGAAATATGCCAAGCTCTTTGCTGCCTCAGGGCCTTTGATATTGTTAGTGCTGCCCGGAGCACTTCCCCCAGATCAATGATTGCACAGATAGCGCTTTGTATCTTTCAGGTCTCTGCACAAAAGGAACATCCTCTAAGGGGCCTTCACCAACTGTCCAATTTGAAATAGCCACCACCCACAACTCCGGGTAGGGGGTATAGGAAATGGAGGAGTTCACTGCTCTCAAGTGTTGTTGGGAGGTCTGAATGGCAAAATGGAAGACAGATACAAACAGTATTCAGTAAACATCGTTTCCATCTCCTGATGCCACTGCATAGGTCACTGCATTTAGTCACTGAAATTCTACTACATTTGCTTCATAATGGCTTTTCTAACTCTCTGAAAAGTGAGGACTTCATCCTCCAATTTCCCCAAGTACTTTGTATTCTCTCAGACCACTTACCACATTCTTCTTTTTTTATTTATTCAGCAAATATCTGAGAGACGACTATGGACTAAGGAGCCTGCTAACCTAAAGGTTGGTGGTTCGAACTAACCTGGTAGCTCCATGGAAGAAGGGCCTAACAAACTGCTTTGGTAAAAACGATAGCCTAGAAAACCCTGTGGAGCAGTTCCACTCTGTAACACATGAGGTCGCCATGAGTTGGGGGCCAACTCAAGGGCAGCTAAAAACAAGAACAACGATATAGACTAAGCAATAGCAGTGAACAAGATCTACTTCTCTAAGAGGTCACAGTTTAGTAAGGGTAACAACTTTATAAACAAAATTTCAATTGAATGTGTTAACTACATTAACAAAGATGTGTACCAGGTACAGTTGTGACTGAAAAAAAGAATGAAGAGTCAATTGTTTTGAGTAGAGAAGGAAGGCAACAGAAAAAGTGATAGCTATCTTGGGTTTTGAAGGATCACTAGGAGTTTGGCAGGCAAACAAGGGAGTAAGGGTATTCCATGTAGAAGAAACAGTCTATGCAAAGTAAAGGGAATAGGCATACCGCCCACTGAAGTTGCCTGGTATGTTAAAGAATAGGCAAGTGGCTTAAAGTAGTGTCAGAGAAAGGGAAGAGGCGAGAGAGGCCAGACAGATAGACAAGTGGTAACTCCTGGAGGGCTTTGTATGTCATTTCAGACACTTTGAATTTTATACTGTAGGGAATTAGAAGTTATTCAGGGATTTTAAAGAGATAATATAAACGGATCCGGGTTTTAGAAAATTTATTCTGGAGGCAGAGAAAATAAGGGATAGGAGTATCGTCAGGACAGTCTCTAAAAGACTATTACAACAGTCCCAGCAAGAAATGAGGAGGCTCCAAACTAAAACAGGATGTCGTGACCAATTGAATATGGGGGTTAACAGGTAAAGAGGAATGCAGGATAACTCTGATTTCTGGTTTAGGTTATAATATGGTGGTATCATTAATGCACCTGGTGAAAATAGGAGAAACCAGGAGGAAAGATTACAAGTTTAGTTTTGGTTTTGAGGAGTTTGAGGGGTCGTTGAAGTGCTCAGGTAGAGATATCACACTAAGGCCTAACCCAGTTTCTGGGCTGAAAATTGAAATGTTGTAGTTAAACCACAGGGATAAGCAGAAGCCATAAGCATAGATGAAATCACCCAAGGGAAATGTACAGACTAAGACGTGAAAGTCATTAAGGAGTGAATCCCTTAGACAAGGAATGTAAAAAGCAGGCAAACCCAGTGAAAAAGGGAGGGAATGAATGACCATGAACTTCAACTGTCACAAAGAGACGAAGTAAAATAAATTTTGAGAAGTAATTACTGGATTTGGCAATTAAAATGCCATTAGAAATTTAAGCAAAAGTAACTTCATTGAAGCCATTAGAGAGGAAAACAGACAACAGTGCTAAGGATCAAAGAGAAGGGGCAGAAGCTGACACAAGTGAAAATACTATGTTTTCAAGAAGTTTACTGATAGATCAGAGGACTGGATAAACACAGGATGGGGAAAGTGATTTTTTTTTTTTTTTAATTTTCTTAAGATGTATGACTTGAGCACATTTAAATACAAGGAAGCAGCTGAAAACACAGGAAAGAAAAAAGGTAACTGGAAGCAAAAAGTCTCCTAATGGAGAGGAAAGGAATGAGTCAAGAGCAAAGACGGACCCATTAACTTCAAAACCTCTTTCTGTGAACTAGAAATGAAAGACTGAAAGATAGGTAAAAATATAGAACAGTGTGTAGATTAGGATATGAAGTTGAAGAAACTGCCTGTCAAACTCCATCATCTGCGCAGAATGGAGGAAGGTAAAGGAGGAGTGATACACATTTGGTGGCAGCCAGTGTGGTATTCATAAGTGCTTAAAAGATGTGGTGATAACATGAATTAACTAGAATTCTGGTGTTCTCAAATATGTGGGTAAAATCACCTACAGTCTTTTAAAAAATGCAAATACCCTAGCACCTTCCCTCCTCATTTAGAATTTGGGGGCTGAAGCTCAGGCAAGCGAATTTTCAAGAACTCTCCAAGTGATTCTGAGGGGCATGCCTGTTAAGAATCACGGACCTAGAAGGTAATCTACTGGCTAGATAGAATACAGCTGATCCAAAATGCAGCAATTATTAAATGTCCCTTAAAGGGGTGTAGAACAGTGCTCTGCCACTCAAACAAGCAAAGATTCCAAAATCTAGGGAGATTCGGAGCAGTATTGAGACAGTCAACACTGACCACCATAACGCGCCCTTAATGAATCCCCTTAAGATGAAGCTAAGAGCTTGAAATATGCAACGATTTAACTAAACGCTTGCTCGAAATAATGCCCACCTTAGACTGTTAGACCCATTGTCTTCCCCAAATTCCATTACTGTAGAATCTTAGCAAACCGGGTTAGGCCCTAGTAGGATATCTCTACCCGAGCACTTCAGAGTGGAATTTGGGGTGCTGCAAGAATAGGAACTGCGAGGGAATTCCAGGGATAGCTCCCGAAAAGGGAGAAACAATGGGGTCGAGAGCGGAAAGGACAGGGACGACTCCTACTGACTGCCCATCTGCCCACTTGACGTGGGACGCTGCGTAACCAGGACCCCGGAACCGTGGTTCCGGCCTCGCCTGGCACTCACCATAGTCTCAGGACCTCAGCAGAACGAGCTACGTATCCTTGCAACAGGAAGACGCCGCCACCAATACTGACACACGGTTACTCTAGCAACAGAGCTCCGCCCACTACCGGAGATACGTAAAACCTTACCGTCCCGCCCCTTCGCCCCTAGTGGCTGGGAATAATTGTCGTTCCACCTACTCAATAGATAGACCCGCCCCTTTACGCCGTCACCTGGGACGACGGGATGCCAAGTTCCGCTCGCCAGCGTCATTCCTTCCATTTGGTTCACGGGTGACCCGGAAGTTTAAGCAAATATGCTCGCGGATTCCAAATATTGTTATATTTTACTTTTAAATACATTTCTATCCCGTTTTTATTTACTGAGATCTTACACCGTGTTAATTGTCTATGTACTTTAGTGTAAATGCACCATAGAAGTCTGTCTTTTGGGAAGGGATTCCGGAAGCGAAACCATTAGTAACAGGAAGTGAGTATGAGTGGGCTAGCTGCTTGCTGTCAGGACCGCCTGGGCTGGTCCGCTTTGGAGCGGAAAGGGGGGTGGGCGGAGAAGTTAAACTGGTAATACTGAGCCGGAGAACCTGTATAGTGAAGCCCTCTGATATAAGGAGAGGAAGAATCTTAGAGGTAAGTCCGAAGACGGGTTTATAACTTAGGGGGGATATGTTGGAGGGGCAGAGGTCCGAGTTGGAGCTTGGTGTTCAGTCGCTTTGGATTTAAGGAAGTGTTCTGCTGTTGTGCCTGGAAGGCTTGTTCACACAGGGCCGGAACTTCTGAGCTCGACTTCCCAGTACAGCCAACCTTAACAGGCTTATCGCTTCCACACCCGCCACTTTCACACTTGTTACCCACTCCCCCACCCCTTCACTTGCTGTTTGCTGGGGGAAACACTCGTTGTGCTTGTACATTTCACAACGCTTCTTTCGAGCATGATTTCAAGGATCATTTATCTGACAAAGGGCCTTTGGATACCTGTTTTCAGAGCGATAGACTGTAAGTGAAGCGGGGGGGTGTGACTGTTAAGGAAATTAGTCATGGGAGTGCTTTTACCGAGTCGAGTATCGAGTACTCAGACTGATCATTTTCTGTGGTGAAACTAGTTGTCACCTAATGTAGAGATCTTCGAATTAATGTCACTGCGTAAGTATCACCTTTCTCCTGAGCTTCTCCAGTGAATCGTTGAATCTGTACTGTAAGGCTATGCATACATACATTTCTGAAAACTATGCTTACCCGTTGCCATTGAGTCGATTCCGACTCCTAGCGACCCTATAGGACAGAGTAGAACTGCCCCCATAGGGTTTCCAAGGAGCGGCTGGTGGATTCGAACCGCCTATGTTTTGGTTAGGAAACATATGCTCAAGGTATGCTTTATTTTACAGTTAAGAGCTACACCAGTTTACTTTTTTACCAAGCAAGTGCAAATTAAGTTATCTTGAGTAATACTTTGTTGTTTTATGATCCAAAATGGCTTTGCAGTAGAGCTGCCCCCAGCACCAGCTTCGCAATTAGTTGTGGATAACTAGGCAATGGGAAATAATCAAACTAGGGCTCAGAATATTCAAATTATCCATTTATTTCATGGCAAGTGTAGTTCTATCTAATTCTTCAACCTGAGACATCAGCAGCAGATTATTCCTCACAGTCTTTAACAGTTAATGCGTGTGTACATTTAAGTAGAAGTAGTGTTTGAAACTCCTCCCTGATACATACAAGTATTATTATTGACATACAAGTTTATGTCAATGATAATATCTTTTGATACTTTGGTAGCCCTAATAATATCACTTGTGAGAAGGGCGTATGATGAACACTTCCTTTCTAAAATGTATGTGTACTAAATGTAGAAGCAATTAGAATATCATATTTAAGTTGGAGACACCTAGTGAATGTGTTTTATGGTATTATGTTTTGTTAATTGTGTCATATTTATACATCTCTAGATTTTTCAGCAGAAGACTTGGGGTGCATTAACATTGCTTAAGAAAAAAAAATGACTACTCTTGAAAGTTTAGAAACCAAAGGTAAGTGTTTTCTTTGGATGATAATTTCTTTCAAAACATGAAATTTATGACAGTGTGAAGGAATGTTTGAGCCAGGTAACTAAATCTACAGCCCTTGGGAATAACTCATGTTTCATATCTCTTCATGATTGTTTTGTAGTGCAGTGTTTATGTTTCAGAGCTTCAGATATACAAGTGAATATTAACATCATTAAGTAGTATTTATTAAATGATTACTCACTCTTAAACATTTAGTGTAAAAGCAAAATTTTACAGCTATATTCTCTATCCCCATGGAAAATTAAGATTTAAATTAACAGTAATACGTATTTTTTAAAGATTTAAATAGATGTACAAGAAGGACAAATAATTGTATAAGACCATTATTATAAGAACTCAAGAAAAGATTTAAGCACAGAAGAAAACATTCTTTGATTGTCATGAGGGTGGGGAGGGAGGGTGAGGGTTATTTACTAACTGCATAGTAGATAAGAATTGTCTTAGGTGAAGGGAAGGAGAGCACACACTACAGGGGAAGTCAGCACAACTGGACTAAACTGAGGCTAAGAAGTTTCCTGAATAGAATCAAAACACTTTGAGAGACAGAGTAGCAAGGGTAGGGGTCTGGGGACCATGCTTTCAGGGGACATCTAGGTCAATTGGCATAACAAAGCTTTTTAAGAAAATGTTCTGCATCCTACTTTGGCAAGTGGCGTCTGGGGTCTTAAAAGCTTGCAAGTGGCCATCTAAGATGCATCAGTTGGTCCCAACCACCTGGAGTAAAGGAGAATGAAGAACACCAAAGACACAAGGAAATTATTAGCCCAAGAGACAGAAAGGGCCACATAAATCAGAGACTGCAATAGCCTGAGACCAGAAGAACTATATGGTGCTTGGCTACCACCAATGACCGCCCTGACAGGAAACACAACAGAGTCCCCCTGATGGAGCAGGGGAAGGGTGGAGTGCAGAGCTCAAATTCTAGTAAGAAGACCAGACTTAATGGTCTGACCAAGACTGGAGGAACCCTGGAAAGCATGGCCCCTGAATTCTCTATCAGCCCAGAACTAAAACAATTTCCGAGGCCAACTCTTCAGACGGATTGGACTGGACTGTGGGACATAAAGTGATACTCGTGAGGAGTGTGCCTCTTAGCTCAAGTAGATACAAGAGACTAAACGGGCAGCTTCTGTCCGGAGATGAGCTGGGAAGGCAGAGAGGGTTAGGAGCTGGTTGAATGGACATGGGGAATCAAGGGTGGAAAGGAGGAGTGTGCTGTCGCCATATATGGAGAGCAGTTAGGGTCACATAACAATGTATGTATAAATTTTTGTATGGGAGACTAACTTGAAACGTAAACTTCATTTGAACTACAATAAAAAAATAAAAATAAATTTAAAAAAATAGATGTATAAACAACTAGCAGATATCAAACACCTTGCTAAATACAGTCATCACTCTTTAGTCCTGCCTTGCTTGGCCTCTCTATAACATTAATACTGTTGACATTCACCTCCTTTTCAAATATTTTTTTTTCATGGCTTCCATGACATCATTCTTCCTGTTTTCAGCCTGTTTCAGCAATTTTCAGCCCCTCACTGTCCAATGCAGTAGCCACATGTGGCTATTTGAATTTAAAGTAATTAATATTCTTTAAAACCATAAAAATCCAGTTCCTCACTCTGACCAGCCACATTTTAGGTGTTCAGTAGCCATGTGTGCCTAGTGACTGTTGTATTGGAAGGTGTACACATGCAACACCTCCATCACTGCAGAGAGTTTTATTTGACAGCACTGCTCCAGCTATACTTTCTCTGTGTCTTCTTCAGCCTCCTCTCCTCCAGGTTTATCCTTTAAGTATCAATTTTTTCCGCCCCCTTTTTTCACTCTTCAAGGAGCTTTGCTGGCGCCATGGTTAAGCACTCAGCTGTTAACTGAAAGGTCAGCGGTTCGAGCCTACCATCTGCTCCATGAGAGAAAGATGTGGCAGTCTGCTTTCATAAAGATTTACAGCCTTAGAAACCCTATGGGGGCAGTTCTGCTCTGTCCTATAGGGTCACTGTAAGTCAGAACCATCTTGACAGTAATGGGTTTGGATTTGGGTTTTTCACTCTTCAGCCCTCTTTCTCTTCTCCCAGTGCCTCAGTACTCATCTATAGGAATGACATCTAAATCTGTCTATAGCCTGGATCTCTTTCCCTGTGATTCAGACCTTCAGAGCCTGCTGCCTACTGGCCATCTTCAGTTAGACATAGGCAACAGTCTTAGCGTATCACAAAGGGAGCTTCTCCTGACCCAGCTTCTCTCTTGGTGGAGTGAGTTCTGGAGGCCAGGGTCATCAGTGAGAGGTGGGAAACAATTTCCTAGAAGCCAGCTTTGCAGCAAGCTGACCTCCAGCAGCAAACTCTCTCTAAGGGGACTGAAGTTTTCTAAGGAAACAAGAAAGAAAAGATCATGCCAATAAATATTTAATTGAATTTAATTCAGCTGTGTGCAGCAGCCGTTCGTAAGTCACCAGAAGGCTTTTATTGTATTAGAATAAGCAAACCAGAGGTCATAATGAAAGTAATAAGTTGGAAATTAATGGGAAATAAGAGAAATTAAGTGATAACTGATATGAAAGCAACTAGTATGGTACTTGGCAAAAAGAAAAAAATTAATAAAATATTTTGATTAGTGTATGATTAGTGATTAAAAGTTTTTGCCAGGCCTCTGTGAAATTATTTTTTATTGCTTGTTATTTATTTGTTTGTAGTGAAGATAAAAGTTACAAAGCAGTTTCACTTACATTATTTTATTTGCTTTTAATTATCCAGTAAAGAAGGTAATTCAGCTATTAGTCCCATCTGTACTTAATATAATGCTAACTTTTGTTATTAGTCAACAAAATTTCTTTGTATTCTATAGCCTGAGAAAAGGTGTACTAATTATGGTTGACATTTGCCAGTTGGTTGCACTTCCTGTAACTGCCTCAGAAGAGAAGCAAGATGTTGTTTGGTTAATAGCCATAGAACTTCCTCCCAGAACATCCGAGCAGTGCTGCCATCATGAGAAGGATGTGTCATCGCTGCAAAGGCTTTTTCTGCAAGGGAAGCATACAATAAATAATAAATAACTAGAAAGTAGAATCCAAAGCTTTTCTTGGAAGTAAGATTAAAGTTTTAAGATGTTAAAGTCATATAGTTTAGGGAAAGCAGACTAAATAGTGCAGTCTGACACATTTAAATATATATTATATAATTCTATGAAATAGTCTAACTTTATCACCAGTTCTGTGGACTAATAGATATTAGGTGAAAAAGGATTCCATGGGCAGATAATTTAGGAAATGCTGAATTAAGGGAAAAATTGTGCTACAGGGCTTCTCAGAGACTTTAGTATACTAATGTGCATTGCAAAGTTCCTAAAAAGAGATGTGATATGCAGCATTGTCTACACTTATTTTGACCAGGGAACTGTCTGTTCATGGAAAATGTGGCAAGAAGAATGTTTAGATTCTATGTGAGTAAATGTGGGTCTAACATTGTAACACATTTTTCTAATTTATTAGTAACAATTTTATTGGATGTTATTGGTGATACTTAAACTAATACTGAATTAGCATTACCAAGTGGGAATCCTGAAATTTAACAATTTTGTACCTGAATTTGCATATATTCTGAAAAGTTTGTCAGACTTTACCTAAATTAGGAATTAATGCTTTGGCGTAGAGAAAAAAAAAAGTTTTAGGTGAGTTAGTTATTGGATGTTGAAATGAAATCTAGGTAGTGTGTTAACAGATTGATGAAAGTCCCTATGTATTTATTCATCTTTTCTGTGCCAGGCACCATTTCTTCAGCTGGTAATACAAAGATTAGTAGCAGGAAGCAATCCCTGGCCTGTGGGGCTTTCAACAGTCTAGAACAAGAGAAAAACAAACTATTTTAAAATAGTATAGTATTTTCATTATTCTGAAAGCACTGCGGGATGGGAGGATAGTAAGGTTAAGTGATCTGCCCAAGATCACACAATGAGTAAGCAGTAGGAACTAAACTTAGAGTTACTGTGACTCAAAATTTGGTATTCTTTTCACTACACCACCTCTGAATTAGAATACCTGTCTTCGCCGAGGCGTTAGTAGTGTAGTGGTTAGCATAGCTGCCTTCCTAGAATACCTGTCTTCATAGATTTACATAAAAGCGTATTCTTTTTACCTCAGTGTTCTAGAGGAGGGCCCAGCAAATTACAGCCCTCAGACCTGCTAGCTGAGAATATTTGCACTCAATTTGATGATCGGAAACATTAACTTTGAACCCTGATTAAGCCAAGTGATATTCCAAAACAAAACAAAACAAAAAAAAAGAATTCTATTCTTCTCATTATTAGGCCTATATTACAAAAAAAATTTAAGCTCAATTATTTTATTTTGAATTTCATCAACAAAAATTTGTGGAAATTTACCTTCTCTCGTTATGTGAATACCTACATAGTAGCTTCAATTTTGTCTGTTGGACTATAAAACTTAAAATATTTACTATATATTTACTATGTGGCTGTTTGCAGAAAAAGCTTGGCAACCCCTATTCTGGTGTTTGACTAGTGTGTAAAAATGGCACGGGGGCTTCTGACCTCCTCTAACTTCACAAGGGGGGAGAACTTCCATCAGCATCAAAAGCCCAACACTGATTTCTATGAGGCAGAGGTCAGACATACCTCCTCTCTTCAACCTTTTCACCAGTTCTGACACCAGCCATCCCTCCCAAAGCACTCTACTTCCCTGCTGGGTTCGGTAGTTCGTTGCAGTGGCCACACAGAACTCACAGACCATATTCACAATTATGGGGTTTATTAGGGAAATAACAGGATACAGTTCAAGATCAGGAACGACTCAGGATAGAGTTCTTCAATCAGGACAGCTTCTTGGCAAACAGGCCTCTGTCTGGCCCTCGGCCCGTTGGCCTGGCCTCTGCCCCTGCTCATGCAAGTGTTACAAAGCTCTTTAGTTCTGCCAGTAAGTGCTCAGAGGCACCCCACTCCACCAG